CAGAAGGTGGCAGGGCCTTGCTCCAAAATCCTAGAAGTCTCCACTGTGATTCACCTATGGGAGCCTGCTAAAGACTCCAGACAGCATCCCTGTCTGCCACTGACACCTTAAGCACCACTGGAGCTGCTGGGTCATATGGCCCAGGTGGCAGAGCAGCTTGCACAGCAGCCTGGACCTGTTGCAGAACCTTCTCTTGTTCTGGACCCCACTCAAAACTGGCAGCCTTTCAGATCACTCGATAAATGGGCTGGAATAACACACTCAAATGAGGAATGTGTTGCCTCCAAAATCCAAATAGGCCCACTAGGCATTGTGCCTGTTTCCTGGTTGTAGGAGGGGCCAAACACAGCAACTTATCCTTTAACTTAGAGTGAATATCTTGACAGGCCCCACATCACTGGATCCCTAGAAATTTTACTGAGACAGAAGGTCCCTGAATTTTTAGTCTGATTTATTTCCCATCCTCTGGCATGCAAATGTCACACAGTAAGTCCAGTGTATTTGCTGCTTATTGCTCACTAGATCCAATCAGCATAATATCGTCAGCATAATGGACGAGTATAATATCTGTGGAAGCGAAAAGTGATCAAGGTCTCTCTGAATAAGATTATGACACAAAGCTGGAGAGCCAGGTAGGAGAGTAAAGATATATTGCTAGCCTTGCCCCCTGAAGGCAAATTGTTTCTGGTTGGCCTTATGGACAGAAATGGAGAAAAGGCATTTGCAGAGTCAGTGGCTGCATACCATGTACCAGGAGAAATAGATTGACTAAATTAGGCAAAAGAAAGATGAAGGCTGCTCACTTAGACTTGAAGTAGTCAACCAGGGCAACTAAACAGCTGTCACTCATGGACTTTTCTTCCAGCGTGTAGTCAATATATTGTCCTTTCCAGCTGTCTTCTTCCTGACTTCTGATTGACCCAACTCTAGTCATGTCCCAGACCCGATAGGCGTAGGGATTGGTTTGTATTGGGAGAGATAGCAGAATAGATTTCTGGGCAAACACAAGTAGTATCCATTACATTATGCAACTAAGGATCTATTTGACTTTTATTTACCTTAGCAACATAGCTTGTATGTCAGCTTATCCTATGAATTCTCTTGGAGTTTCTATTAGACTCTTTGAAAGCAATAGTAGTCCCTTGCACACTTTATTTCCTAATATGCTTTGTTTTTGAATGGTGCTCAATTTATTGCAGGCCTTTGGCTCTTTTTTCTTTTTAATTTTTTTTTGTGTAGGGGGAGATGGAGCCTCGCTCTGTTGCCCAGGCTGGAGTGCAGTGGTGCATCCTTGGCTCACTTCAGCCTCTGCTCCTGGTTCAAGCATTCTCGTACCTCAGCCTCCCAAGTAGCTGGGATTTTAGGCACCCACCACCATGCCTTGCTAATTTTTGTATTTTTAGTAGAGATAGGGTTTCACCATGTTGGCCAGGCTGGTCTTGGACTCCTGGTCTCAAGTAATCTACCTGCCTTGGCCTCTCAAAGTGCTGGGGTTACAGGTGTGAACCACTGTGCCCGGCCCCTTTGGCTCTTTTTACTACATTATTTCTGTATTTTCTAGGCTGTTCACCTATGATTTTGCCTATAGTAGATTTACTTTTTTAACTTTATTTTAGGTTCAAGGATACACGTGAAAGTTTGTTGCGTAGGTAAATACATGTCATGAGTGTTTATTGTACAAATTATTTCATCTCCCAGGAATTAAGCCCAGTACTCAATAATTATCTTTTCTGCCCCTTTCCCTCCTCCTACCCTCCACCCTCAAGTAGACCCCGGTGTCTGCAATTTCCTTCTTTGTATTCAAGTTCTCATCATTTAGCTCCCACTTATAAGTAAGAACATGTGGTATTTGGTTTTTTGTTCCTGCATTAGTTTGCTGCAGATAATATCCTCCAGCCCCATCCACGTTCCCTGAAAGGACCTGATACCGTTCTTTTTTATGGCTGCCAGTAGATTTACTTCTTAACGTCAGATTATGTAATTAAGAGCCTGGTGGTCTGTAAAAATATACATGACTAAGAGAGGGACTATCTCCCCTAGCTAATTGAGGGGACATGTCTTTTTTTTTTTTTTTTTTTTTTTAAATGCTGGCAGCACTTAGTAGTTTGGTTGACAGGGCTATCCACAAATGATTCATGAAGAAAAAGGTACTTACTCCAAGATAAGACCCATACTCACAGTCTTTGATCAAGAAAGTTGATTTCATTTGTCTAATAGTAGGGTAACTATGTAAACATCTGATTTGAATCTTACTGGCTGTAACTTTGGATATATTGATTGTGGGGTTTTTTGCACCTCATTTTTCTTATAAATAGAAAGGACACAATTGCAATTGCTTTGTTCTGCCACCACCACACCCTCCACCCCTGCCAAAATATGAGAAAAGAGTAACTAGCAGTGAGTTACCTTGGGCGAGACTGTCCATTTCTCAGTTTTAATTTTCTCATCTTTCAAATGAGGGAACCTCTTCTAGCTGTGAAATCTTACATTTTGATTCTTTTGTTTGTTTCAAACAATTGACAAGAGTTTCTAGAAATGTTTTTCCTGGTTGGGTGCGGTGCCTCATGCCTGTAATCCCAGCACTTTAGGAGGCTGAGGCGGGCAGATCACCTGAGGTTGGGAGTTTGAGACCAGCCTGACCAACGTGGAGAAATCCTGTCTCTACTAAAAATACGAAATTAGCTGGGCGTGGTGGTGAATGTCTGTAATCCCAGTTACTCTGGAGGCTGAGGCAGGAGAATCATTTGAATCCAGGAGGTGGAGGTTTCTGTGAGCTGAAATCGTGCCATTGTGCTCCAGCCTGGGCAACAAGAGCAAAACTCCGTCTCAGAGAAAAAAAAAAATGTTTTTCATTTTGCAGTGCTCATTACATGAAACATCTTTTTCCTCTTCACCAGGCAGTTGCAGTGGTGCAGAATGGCTGACCTCAGTCTTGCAGATGCATTAACAGAACCATCTCCAGAAATTGAGGGAGAGATAAAGCGGGACTTCATTGCCACACTAGAGGCAGAGGCCTTTGATGATGTTGTGGGAGAAACTGTTGGAAAAACAGACTATATTCCTCTCCTGGATGTTGATGAGAAAACCGAGAACTCAGAGTCAAAGAAGAAACCATGCTCAGATACTAGCCAGGTCGAAGGTAAGTATTTAAACCAAACTGCTTATATATGTTCAGAAAGTAGGTTACGGATTATGCCCGTGGTCACAATCCTAGAAACTAAAAATAGAGCTGAGTTTTTTTTTTTGTTTGTTTTTGTTTTTAAGTATACCCTAGTAATTATATTTCTTTGTTAGAAACTGACAAGATAGTCTTAACCACGCTTTCAGTGTGTGTTCATGAGTCTATAGAAAACACCGTAATGTTTCTTCTGTAATGTTCCAACTACCATATAATCTGCTTCTTAATTCCCTAAATTAAGCTGTCTGCTGTGCCTTTTCTTTGAAAGTAGCTTTGAAAAGTTAGATAAAATTCTGTGCTTATATCAGAACTTCATTTAGACTGGAATCAGATGCCATTGGTTGTTTTTGGGGTCATCCCAGGTCAGGATTAATTAAAGCCTGTAAGAGAAATTTTCCATTTTCTAGGATCAAATATGCTAATATTTGGTTGAGGATTTTTGCATCTGTGTTCATGAGGGAATTGGTCTGTAGTTTTCTCATAATGTCTTTTGACCAGTTTTAGAATTGAGGTCACAATGACTTCATAAAATGAATTGGGCAATGTTCCTTTCTTTCTCTTTTCTAGAATAGTTTGTATAGAATTGATATTTTTTTCTTCTTTTCAGTGTTTGATAGAAATCATCAATAAAGCTATCTGGGCCTGGAGTTTTCTGTCAGATTTTTAAAGTAGGAATTTTAGTGTCTTTCAGAGATCATAGAACTATTCTGGTTATCTATTTAGTACATTAGCTTTGGTACTTTGTATCTTTCAAGCAATTCCTTGGTCCATTTTCTTGCGTAAATGTTGCAAATTAATGGAGATAAAATTATACCTTATGCTTTTAATGTCTGTAGGATCTGTTATGTCCCCTCTTTCATTTCTCATATTAGTTACTTGTGATCTTCCCTCCCTCCCCCCGCCTGCCTTCCTTTCCTTTTCCTTTCTCCCTTTCTCCTTTCTCTCTCTCTCTCTCTCTTTTTCTTTTTCTTTTCCTTTCCCTTTCCCTTTCCCTTTTCCTTTTCCTTTCCTTTCCTTTCCTTTTTTCTTTTCTTTTCTTTTCTTTTTTTCTTTTCTTTCTTTCTNCCCCCCCTTTCTGATAGAGGTTATCAGTTGTATTGAAAGATCCAGCTTTTGGTTTCATTAATTTTTTTTCTATTGTCTTTCTGTTTTTAATTTCTTCTCATATCTTTATTTTTTCCTTTCTTTTGTTTACTTAAGTTGATTTATTCTTTTTATGGTTTCTTAAGGTGGTACCTTATATCAGGTTTTGATCTGAGACATTTCTTTTCTAATCTAATTACTTAATCTTATAAATTGCCTTCTAATCACCATTTTAGCTGTGTCCCATGGATTTTTATATGTTGTATTTTATTTTCATTCAAAAATATTTTTACATGTTTTCTTTGTGAATTCCTCTTTATGGCTGCCTTTTCCTCCACCTCCTGGGTTCAAGCGAATCTCCTGCCTCAGCCTTCCGAGCAGCTGGGACTACAGGTATGCGCCACCATGCCTGGTTAACTTTTTGTATTTTAGTAGAGACAGGATTTCACCATGTTGGCCAGGATAGTCTCAATCTCCTGACCTCGTTATCCCTCCGCCTTGGCCTCCCAGAGTACTGAGATTACAAGCATGAGCCACTGTGCCCGGCCAGCCATTATCTTTTAAAATATTTCTTCTGTCCCATTCTTTTTCTCTTCTCCTTCTGGGATTCCAGTTATATTTGTTAAATTGTTTGATAGTGTCCCTTATCTCTTGGATGTAAGAGATCCAGAGAAAATTCACACTTACATGCAGGATTGTCTACTGTCATGCTCACAAGAAAGACTGTAGGCAGGGTGAGGGACCAGATAGAGCCTCCCTCAGTGGTATAGACCTGAAGAAGGCCACCACCATTGAGGGAAAAGCGAGAGAAAAAAGAGTTTTCTGTCCAGTTTTAGAATTGAGGTTACACTAACTTCATAAAATGAATTGGGAAGTACTCCCTTCTTTCTCTTTTCTAGAATAGTTTGTATAGAATTGATTTTTTTTTCAATGTTTGGTAGAATTTATCAATAAAGCTATCTGAGCCTGGAGTTTTTTGTCAGATTTTTAAACTAGGAATTTAGTTTCAGAGATTATAGAACTATTGTCTCTTAAAAAAGAGAGAGAAGAGTTTTCTCCTCTCTTTATTTCTGTTTGTGTTTTACTTTGGGTACTTTCTTTTGACCTGTCTTCCACTTCCCTGATTCTTTTCCTAGTTGCATTGAATCTAATGATGAGCTTTTAGTGGCCATTATCTACTTCAGCATCTCTTATGTTTTTAATTTCTAGCATTTCTGTTTGCCTATTTCTTATAGCTTCCTTCTTTCTGCTGAAATGTCCCCATCTGTTCATGCATGTTTTCCACCTTTTCTACTAGACTTTAACATATCAATCATAGTTGTTTTAAATCTCTGATAATTTGAAAACCTGGGTCATCTCTCAATCTGATGTGGGGTGTGTGTGTGTGTGTGTGTGTGTGTGTGTGTGTGTTAGTTTTTGACTGAATGCTGGATCTCACATGTAAAATAGTAGGCTGAGACCAAAATGGATTTATGCTTGGAAATGAATATGTCTTTTGGGTTTAGTCAGTTTAACCAGGAGCTGAGCTAGTTTTGGGTTTGTTGTTACCGTAATTGCCTTCAGTGTACTACTAGCTTCAATTTCTTTAATTCTGTGCCTAGAGTGGTGACTGAGGCCCTGGAAGGTTTTTCTTTAGTGTACTTGCTCCAGCCTTTCAGTCTTCCCTGTGTATTGGTACCTCAGAGGGGTCCTTCTCTATGCACTTTTCCCTCTTTTATCAGAAGAGTACTAGTCAGATGGCGGGCAGAATTTGTTTTTTTATTGTCCCATTTTGGGCTTAATCCTATATTTATATATCATGGTTGGGTCTCTCTCAGTGGTATTATCCTTCTCACAGTAGTAGAGTCTTCTAATGATATTGGTATAAGATCCTGGATGAGGAGTTTTTCTTGCTCCTCTCTCAGGTTTATAGGGTATTTTTCTATTACACTTTCCCTAGGTACAGCCGGTCTTCTCATGTGCTCTTGGGCAGATGGGGTTTGGTACTCCCTCCCCAGGAGAGAAAGATTGCAGAGGGAGGGGTTCATGCTTTTCCCTTAATAGTGGTGGGCTTCTCCAGGTCTGTACCACTGAGGGAGGCTCTGTCTGGTCCCTCACCCTGGCTCCAGTCTTTGTTGTGAGTATGCAGTAGACATCTGTTAAGACAATCCTGCAAGTGAATATGAATTCCCTTTGTGTCTGTGGATTTGAGGGGCTCCATAGTCTCATGCTAATAGCCTTCACTTACCTTTAACACATCACTAAAATTTTTACTTTAATTTTTCTTAACTGCTTGTAAGGGCACCCAGTATCTCTTCTTCACATGCTCTGACACAGGAGAGCTGGTGTTCACCTCTCATATCTCCTGGAGGGGCTTGTCTTTCTTTGGAGTTCATACTACTGTAAGGTAGCTTTCCAATGAATTCAAGTTTTTTTGGTAGTTGATGTGGCTGTTTCTTATTGTTAGGGTGGGAGTGACATTGCTTTTGGTGTTCTACAGCCTAAGTGGAAGACGAAAACTTGCTTCCTTTATATGTTCCTTTTTATGTTTAATTTGTGTGTTGGGGAGGGGGCAGACCACAACTCATTTTAAAAAGTACTGAGAATTTAAGATCTAATTATATCTATATAAATATTTACTCCAGACCAGCCGTGGTGGCTCACGCCTGTAATCCCAGCACTTTGGGAGGCCAAGGCAGGTGGCTAACCTGAGGTCAGGAGTTTCAGACCAGCCTGGCCAACATGGTGAAACCTTGCCTCTACTAAAAATCCAAAAATGAGCTGAGGGTAATGGTGTGCGCCTGTAATCCCAGCTACTCTGGAGGCTGAGGCACGAGAATCACTTGAACCTGGGAGGTGGAGGTTGCAGTGTGCAGACTTTGCGCCACTGCACTCCAGCCAGGATAATAGAATGAGACTCTGTCTTAGAAAAAAAAAAAAAGGTGCTATCATTGCTTACAAAAGTGTCTTGACGTTGAAAAAGCTTATGTTGAGAAATAAAGTTCATATTTTGTTTTTATCCTTGAATTAGATTTTCTAGAAACTCATATATATATATTTTGAATGGGCTAACAAATGCATATGTACAAAATCAAACTAGTCCAAAGGGATATACAGTAAAAATAATTCTCCCAACCCCTTCACCCTTAGCCAGACAATTCTCCTTCCTGAAGTAACCACTTGCCAATTTCTGGAGTAGTCTTTCTGAGTTAATAAACTTTTAATTATTACATATCAAAAGTAGGGAGGAGTTAATCATTTTTTGTAAATAAAATAGTGTCTTAAAAACTTTCCTCCTCTTGGAACAAGTTAATGTTACATGGATCAAGTCACTCAAGATGAAGCCCAAGAAAATCTGCTACCACCTCACTGTCCTTATCCACCTAGGCTCAGTCCCAGATGGTGGAAGCAGTGCACGGTTAAAGGAAATTAGAAAATGAAAAGCAGCTAGCTTCTTCCACCTATGACTGATGAGAATAAGTTAATAGGGATGGGAGAGCATCTCAACCATGACTAGTTGCTACAATATTTACATCTTTTTTTTTTTTTTTGAGACGGAGTTTCGCTCTTGTTACCCAGGCTGGAGTGCAATGGCGCGATCTCGGCTCACCGCAACCTCCGCCTCCCAGGTTCAGGCAATTCTCCTGCCTCAGCCTCCTGAGTAGCTGGGACTACAGACACGCGCCACCATGCCCAGCTAATGTTTTGTATTTTTAGTAGAGACGGGGTTTCACCATGTTGACCAGGATGGTCTCGATCTTTTGACCTTGTGATCCTCCTGCCTCGGCCTCCCAAAGTGCTGGGATTACAGGCTTGAGCCACCGCGCCCAGCAATATTTACATCTTATTATTCCTTTCTTCATACTAAGTTTAAGTTAGTCAAAGAACAAATGTCTTCA